CTACTCTGCTTAGCCAATGGACATATTGGACAATCTGCTGTGGAATTTATTTTCTGAGTCAACCCAAGTTTCTGCATGACTTGTAAAGATGGGTGACCTAGTCTTTGGTGCCAAAGTTCAGTATCTTTTGCCTTATCTGAAGACAATTTAGTACTATTGGTTGAGCACATATCATGAGACTTGACAATGTACAAGCTTCCTTCCTCTTTACCAATCCCCCTCACCTTGCCATTGTAAAGATCCTGAAATATACAAAAGTCAGGAAAGAAAGTGACAGAGCAGGATAGGCTCTTGGTTAGTTTGGAAACTGATATCAAGTTGTATTTGAAGTCCGAAACACATAAAACATTGTCAACTCGCAGCCCTTCTAGGAACTCAGCAATTCCTGTATGAGTGATTTTAGATTTTTCACCATTTGGCAAGTGAACCTGTTGATTACTAGAACAATTAATCTCCACGGAATCCTTTAACATGTCCAGATTAGATGCAATGTGATGAGTGGCACCAGAATCTATGATCCATTCCTTTGAAGAGAATGCAGATAATAGAGATGTAACAGTACCTGCCAGATTGTGCTGATTTGTGTGTTCCTTCTTATCATTCATCATCTCCTGAATTTGTCTGTATTGTTCATCTGAAAACAAAGGAGCATTTCTCCCATATAGCTGCTGCAATTGTTTGTACTGTTCATCTGTGAAAACCTGATCACCAGCTCCATTCTTCATTGAGCAACTCCCTTCATTTTCAGTTGCATAGTGTCTCCTATCATCACTTACAACATTATTTGCATTAAAGTTCTTTTGTCTCTGAAATTGCGAGTTGTATGGCTTTTTGTTATTGTTTGCTGCATAGTTCCTTTTCCTAGAGTCATCATCAGGAGTCCCCTTTTGCTCCTCTGGACGACCAACCAACCAGTAGCAGTCTCCTTTTACATGTCCTCCTCGTCCACAATGATCGCACTTGACAAAGGGCTTTTTACCCCTATATGGTTGTCCTCTATTGATTTGCATGGCAAGATGTTCACTCTTTCCTCCAATAGCTGGAAAAGGACATGATCTTTGACTCTCATCCTCACTAATCATGGCATACGCTTGATTTAGTGATGGTTCAATAGTTTTGAGCAATAATTGCCTGCGTACTTGCTCATAAGAATCATTCAAACCACTAAGAAATTGCAGTAATCTCTGGCCCTGAAGGTGTTCAATGTAATCCCTAGATTTCACGCAATCACACCTAGGTGTGGGAACCAAATCATCATATTCAGCCCAAAGTTCTCTTAGCCTTGTAAAATACGTAGCTATAGAATCAGTTCCTTGCGATATCATCGCGATCTCTCGATGTAACTGAAAAATTCGAATTCTATTGACTTTATCGAACCTCTCCTTCAGATCCTCCCATACCAGATGTGCATTTGACGAATACACAATCCCACTGAGAAGATGCATAGAAACTGTGTTCATAATCCAGGATAAAACAATCGCATTACAAGTCTCCCAATCTTCATGTAGATCAGTACCGAATTGCTCCTTCCTACAGGTCCCGTTAACAAATCCCAATTTCCTTTTTGCTTGCAAGGCTATCGTCATAGATCGTCTCCATAACCCGTAATTTTCAGATCCAGTCAATTTTGTGGGAATCAACACCGATCCTGGAGTATCTGACGGGTGAACAAACAATGGATGTGTGTTATTGATTTTTTCAGTAATTACCTGAGTCTGTCGATCTTCAGCTGGTTCTGTTTCTAAGTTTCCAGCCATTTCTTATTCGCAATTGAAGAATCTATTTGTTTGAGCGTGTAATTCCAGTCAACACTGCTCTGATACCATGTTAGATTTCATACTTAGCTTGTAAGCTCAAGCTACATTAATGGCGGAAGCATTTTGAGAGAAGATAGAAGAGAGAAATTTATTTCATATCAAACTAAAACTATAAAGGCACATACAAGTATTTATAGTGTGATTTAACTGATCATCACAGCTGGACACTTTAGCATTATAGTTAGTTACTAGTCTAACCAACTTTCTACTTCCACTAACTACAGCTAACAACTAATTAACATTTAAGTGTCATCTTAACTAACTAGCTTCAATAACTTACTATTACAAGAAAAATATTTCTAGATGAAGTGTGACCAAGTCTTCATAAACGATATCATCAACGGATCTAGTGCAGTGGATGAGGCTGCTTTCCTTTTAATCAAAGATCTTGAGTTTGAATTTTTTTTTATGACAAGGAAAACCCGCAGCCGCTATATATGGAAAAATCCTTGATAGAAAGCGCTTCCCTCCGAATGAAGTTTTACATGGCTCGAATCCAAAGTAATTAAATTTCAATACAGATATCAAATATCATATTTTAAAAAACAAAAGATCTTCACAAAATGATAAAGAAAAATTAGAATACTCCAAACCAAATTGTCCTTGATGCATTCTTTAAAAATTAACACTTTAAACCAATTCTTATCTACTCATATTATTTTTTTGAGAACTAAAATGTTGTAATTATGTGACTACACTACAAAGCACTATAGAACAAAAATAGATTAATTATTTCAAGGTTATAATAGATGATTGTGATAAAATCATAAGTATTCTTTTATTATCAATTAATATTTTTATATATGAATCCTGAAAATGAAACATCTTTTAGTAAAAGACACTTGATTAATGAAATGATTTTTTCTATGTCACTCAAAATTAATCAAGCTTCAAAATAAGCCTAAAAAAACAAAAAAAAAAAACATTTAAAGAAAAATGTTGAATTATTAGTGCTAATTAAATACATGTGAAATCATGGAAGGATTGGTCCACTTCTAGTTCAAGTGTCTCCTAGGAAAATTCCAAAACTTTGATGAAAATGACTAAATGAATAATATTAGTATAGAAAATGTTCTTTTTCTTTTATTTTTCAAATCCACCTAAGTTTTCAATATGCAAGTACTAAACAAATAAAAAACAAGATAATTTGAATAATATATGATTAAGTAAAAGTATAAGCATACACTGTCCATTAATAAGATGATGATTTGATTTTCTTATTTATGCATGTATATATTATCTATCAAGCGTTTCAGAATGGTAAGATTAATATCTAAAGTTCAAGATTCAGATGACGAAAAAAAATAAAGTCTTAATCAAGATAATTTTATTTTAATATATTTTACCTAACGAGAATCCATATCAACTCGATATATAAATCAAATATATAACATTATCATCAATAATAAATATGTCGATGAAAGACAAAATAATTTTTTGTTCAATTAAAATATGGACCGTCGTTGACTTACAAAAGATACCAAGTCTTCCATGTTTGGACAAAATTAGCCTGCCTTTGAGAAACACATTTAATTGCAAATACTTCATCCGTCTTAAATTATTTGTTGTGTGTTTTTACACATTTTTTTAAAAAAAATATTGATTAGAATTTTATAGTTATCTTATCCTTATTTTTATTATAATATATAATCTCTTTGATGTTTCTTATACTTTAACTATCGTATATTTTGTTGTAGTTAGTATTCTGTATGTTTGTGATGCTTTCATTTATGTTTATTTTCTTCCTGAATTACTTTGGATTATTCTTTTTAGCCGAGGGTCTATCAGAAAAAAAATTCTCTATCTTTGAGGTAGGGTAAGATTTGCATACACTCTATTTTTTCCAAATTTCACTTTCTGAGATTATGTTGTTATTATTATTGTAGAGTAATATATAATCATTTTCATTGAATATTTACTTTATTTATGTGTCTATTACCCAATGGCCAATATTATTTAAGTGTTAGTAATCTTCAACAATTATTATTATTAAAGGTAAAATGATGAGAGGAAATTCTTTTTTTTTTTTAAATAATAATACTAAATAATTTGAGATAACTAATTTTAAAAATTACGATAAAAATAATTTGAGAAGGAGGAAAGTAGTTGTGTCTTTCATATCATTGAATTTGTACCTTTTTTTCGAAATTGAAATCATCCAAATGAACGCATTAATTTCCGCCCACAATTTCAGAAAATTTCTAAATTAATGGAACAGCAAATTAGGTATAAATATTAAAATTGGCAAGCTCACAAAATTTTATATCTTTTCAAACTCAAAACCACCATTGACTTTTTAGAGAATTTTTTAATTTGGTAGTTACATAAAATGTGTGAATTGTTAAAAGATATACTATGTATTTAAAGTTAGGACGGAGATTTGAAATTACATATAAAACACTTTAAACTTTTAACCACCAAAAAATGTGGTACAGCAAATAGGGTTGTTTTTTCCTTAATTAGGAATCTCAAGTTCAAATCCTAAATGCGACACAACTTAATTGTGCCTGAATCTAATGAACTAATACAATTAATACATTAATGTAAATATTGAATACGGATAAATTTTATCCCATTTATTTTTATAGATCGATCATGAAATATGCATGGTCGGTGTTAAAATAGAAATCTTGTCTCTTACTAATTTAATTAATTTATTAAATTTAGATTTAGAGAATCAAGGTGCAATGTCGGTCACCTAGGTTTGATTTTTATTAAGAAAAAAAAACTAATTTTAAGACTTTTTTTGTGATATTTAATTGGTCAATTTTACATTGAAATTTGAGCTTCCCAACAATCTACTCAATTAATTGCACATGTACTACTTGTAATGGTTTTTATCTTTTTCTTGGAACTTTCTCATTCATTCACTTTTATTTGTCTATTATTATAAAATTTTGTTTTTCACTTATTAAAAAAAATTATATTTTATTATTAATATTAATTAAGTAGTTATTTCTAAAATTTATATTACAAATCAATTAATAGAAACAGTGTGGTGAAATAATAATGTGAATCTTTTAAATAAGCATGTCAAATATTTCATTTGTCTCTAATTACTTGTCCGCTTTTGAATTGACATACTTATTAAGAAAATAATTATTGACATAGTAAGTTTATCATTTTACCCCTATTAATTATAAAGTAGATGCATTAAAAACTTAAGCTTTTCAAGAAGTTCTACATTTTTTAAAATAATTAATTGAGGATATAATAGGTAAAAAGAAAGTCGTCCTTTCTTGACTTGTCAAAATGATGGACAAGTAACTAGGGACGACTAAAAAAAAATATATACAAGTAATTAGGAACAGGAGAGAATAATATGACAAATAAAAAAAAAGGTTCATTTCTCTAATTTTTATATATGTACTACATATGGGAAGTTTGGTTTCCCGTAGGGTTGACATTGGGATGCGTGCTTTAGTTAATGCCTTGTTTTTAGGTTCATGGGGAAGAGGTTGTATGTGGAATATTTTTTTCGTGTGAAGGTGTTAAATCGGAGATAAAGTTTAAGAGGAAACTTTGGTCTAGACTCAAAAATAAGTTATATCGATTTTTATGGTTATAAAGTATTTTATTAAGATTAAATTAAGAAATTATCCTTTTTAACTTATGTACTTAAATATCTTTAGTAAGGGATCTGTCGCATCCTAATAATATGTTGAACTATAGAGAGACGAGAGTATATGTTTATTACTTTCAAAAGTAGTTATTACTAAGGACAAAATAAAAAAATATATATATACTCAACTATATCTTAATTTCTAAAATGATAAACCAACCAAAGTAAAATTAGTTAGATTTATGTTATTTTATATTTATTGTTGCTTATGAGTCATGACAATCATAAGTTTTGAAAAATAGGGAGACGTTATTTAGTAGCATGATTACAAATATAAAAAAAATAGATTGAAAACATTATTTTCTCATTTATTTTTTTACTTTTTTTTAGAACAGACTAAAAATGATATAAACTCTAACGATCAGGATATTTGTAATCCCAATGACACGTACAAGTACTTCTCATGGATTTATTGTCTTTACAACTTGAAAAAAGAAACTCCTCTTTAAATCGATTTTGGCAAAATATTTTTGCAAGGTGGTGATTCTTTCACACAAGGAACATAATTCACAAAGGGTGTTCTACATTGGTTGGCAAAATAATTTAACTTTTGTCAAGGAATTTAATTAAATTCGTATTCGCGCCCAGGAAGTCCCAAATTATGAGGTAAAGCGTTCTCTAACAAAGGCAATTCTGTATCTAGAGAAATTCAAATTCGAGACCTTTGATTAAAAATGAAGGAGTACTTATCACTCCATCACTACTTCATTTAATTATTGCCATCTACTACTAAGTTACCATTTCATCTCCTTTAAATTTGATACAAAAGCTAGAAACGAAACGAAGAAATATTAATTTTGAAAAACATATAGCAATAGATGATACGTACCACAAATATAAGCAATAAGGAAAATAGAACAGCGGAAAGATACACCAAAGTTTTCCATTGAATAATTGAGTGAATAAAGTAGTCATTTTACCTTTATTTTATAATATAGACTTTGAGAGATTACAGTAATAAATAAAAATTATAATAGTAATCTTCTAGATTAATTACATTACTAATGTACCATTTCTATGCATTTATTCTAAATCCCACCTAATGTAATTACCTTACTGCCCAACTGATATTTCTTTTTGACATGACGTCAGTAGAACGTTAACCTTTTTTAAAATTTAAAAAAATGTATCTATATAAAATAGGAGAAGCAAAACATTTTATCAATAATGTGAATTCAAATTCAAATTAAAGTATTCTATTATAGTAGAATCATTTTTCTACAACATTTTATCAAAAGGAAATCAGGGACTTGATTTTTCATTTCACATTAGAAATTAAATTGTTCGACTCTCTCTACTCTACACATAGTACAAATTATAACTTTATCAATTGTACTAACTTTAAAATCAGATAGAGTAATTGTTTAGTTACAATAATTTCAGTTTTCTACTTATTGTACGAGATGCACACAAGCTGAACCGCCAATAAATCTCATAATATTAAGAGTAGTCAACCAAATATGTAAGTGAGGGATACTGGAGGAAATGTGTTTTAACATACCTATACATCAGAATCATCATCATCAGATGTAACTTCAGACTGAGAATCTGCATCCTCTTCTTCATCTTCCTCATCATCATATTCGTCGATTTTTATAGTGCTTTTGACAGTCATCTTTGACAATGCTGCAGTCTTGCTAGCCCTC